CTGATTTCTGCTTGTCCACGGGAGTTTGCGCTTGCCCCCTGAGCCCAAAAGATTTGATAGTGATTTTAAGGCTCTCCTGATTATCATTGGACTTTTCTAGCACGACCTCACGATCTAAAACTTTCTTTCCCTTCTTAGATTCTCTGGGCTCGCCGATTTTTTTTCCAAGAGCGGAATCGAATTGCTCCGGCCATATCAAGATGGCTGGATTATTGATCTCTAGTGTTTCAACCATGGAAAGTGTCTTTTTGCAAGGCAAAGGATGTGCATCTCCATCATGCGTAGCTTGCATGTCCAATTTTGCCTCTTTTGATTTCCAAAACCGATTAATAAATTTCTATGAATCGGTTTGGAAGGCATTACATGAAGCCTGGAGCCATGCTTGATGACTTTGGAGAGTCAGACAACACCGTAATATGGGGCAATGAAGCATGCGGTGCTGCTGTCCTTTCATTGGTTAGAGAGGTACGAACCGAATTCGGCATGTATGTAGCAGCAGGAAGAATAGTACTAACCCCTCCTGAATTGGTCCTATTGGTTTCAGGCGCCGAAGAGACCAATTCGGGTTTCTTCCTGAAAATAATCTTGCCATATTGATCAATATAATAGTAAGATAGCCTCTTCCCAGGAGGTATAGTACTAGCCCCTCTTGAATTGGCCCTATCAGTTTCAGGTGCCGAAGAGGCCAATTTGGATTGACTCTTTGAAATCAACTTGCCATGCTGGTCAAAATAATAGTAAAACGGCCTCTCATATTGAGGTTGATTAAAAGCTGGGGCTGATTCACTAGCATATCCAACATGAGGTGAAGTAGTAATAAGAGCACCAAAGATTCCTTTCTCTAACTTATCAAATGGAGAATTAATCTTAACCATAGTATAGAAAAAAGGAGAATCTTTAGTAATCCCATCTACCTTTAGCTTAGCTATGGTTGTAGACCTGATGAGGATCTCCTCACCCATTGGACTGGTGAACTCGCCGTTGCGACCATTGTTCCACATCTTGCTAAGATCGAGGAGATCAAGACTAGATGCTTTCGGCCTTTTGAGCCAGATTAAGCAACAACAATGATAAACACAAGGATAGATTGGAATTGGCTAGGTCTGAAAGATCGGCTATAGGAGATAGCTGAACCAATCGTTCCCCAGCAGAGTAGCCAAAAAGTGTGTTGACGCTTAATTAGGTCACACACTCGATAAGGAGCTAGACCGCTCAATGTAGGGCCTCGCCGATTTTGGGATCGGCTGACGCCTAGGGGATGTCCACACTGGACCTTGTGCCTCCAGCGATGAGCGCGATACGCAAGACATGTCACCGGAGGAGCCTCGCCGGGAGCGCGATACGCAAGACACGCCGGCGAGGTCTCTTGATACCCGAAACCTCACACGCCCGAGAGGGACCCCGTCGGGGCGTGCAGCGGCTATGGGCTGCTCTAGCCGACCTGACCGCTCTAGAGCATCGTCGTCGTCGATCCTCCAGCCATGCAGCATCGACGAAGAACGAGGAGAAGAGGTAGATGGGGAAAAGAGGGTAAAAAGATGTAGATTGATTTGTTATGTTTTTGTGTCGATTGAATAGATGGGAACTCAATCGGCAATGTACCCCTTATTTTATAAGGGGTAATGGTGATCTTATCCTATAGGAAACCAATATGGTACTATTATCATGTTGCTTTATGAAGTTTTTCTTAGATTGGGCTAAAACTATCATGGGCCTATTTAAATTGGCTTAGGCCCAATTTAAATGTCAATAATAATTAATAATTTACCATGAATTTAATGAGCAACTTACCTATTTATCTAGCTAATAGCTACTCCCTCCGTCCTGTAATATATCGCATTCTAGCATTTAAAATTTGTCTTCAAATATAATGAATTCTAGAGGACAAAAACCAATTTTACATTAAATATTTTTCATTTATCAGTCAATCACCATTAATCACGTTGTTGATAGCATCTGACTAGGAAATAAAATGATGGTACATGAGTCTTTTATGTTTTCTCTTAATTTGTCTTAAATTCCTAAAATGCACTGTATTATGGAGTAGATTCTAGCAACAGCGAGAACAAAAAGCTTTCTTGCATTGGTGAGTTGGTTGGGTTTTGTCCATGCATGCACACACAAGTCGCTGTTGTTTGTTGCACACCCACATGCAGTCCCATCTGAGTGAATATCTTTCGCTTGATCGACGATCGATAGAGAAAACTCACCAACTAATCCGTGCGCTATGGATAATCACGGATGAATAAAAACTACGGTAATCATTGCATGCATGTCATTATTTAAGATGCATCTGGGTAATAATAATATATATGACTCTCAGGTATTGTCACTTTCGGTTAAAAGTTAAGCATATATATGTGCAAGAAAGTAGGTCGTCACATGTATTTAGCACAAGCATCAAACTCGTTTAAAATTGAAAAGCATATAAAGCCGATTGGAACGACCCAAAAACACTGCTAGCAGATTGCGAAAAAAGCATCTCCAACAGTTTTTCTTAAGCCAACTCTCTGGATTGAACCATTCTAATAAAATCATTCTTTTTATATCTCAACCCTCCAACAATTTGTCTATGTCTTGTTTGGCACTTGGAAAGCTTGCTCCATTCTCTATCTTTGATAAGCAAGACACCAGGAATACAGAATGAAAATATTTGGAGATTCCGTTGAAGAAATTGTTGGCGGTTTTTTCAACAAAATCTCTATTCGTATCAATAAGAACTCATCTTGGTAGAGGAAGACGATAATGACAAAGAAAATGACGAGGACGAAGAAATTATTGCTTGCATACGGTAGCTAGAACTAGATGAAATGTCCAATGTGAGCCGGGTACACTCACTACCGAAAACCGGCACTTTGCTGAGTGCCGGAGGCTTTGCCAAGTGTATTTTATCGGGCACTCGGCAAAGACGGTCTTTGCCGAGTGCCAAATAAAATACACTCGGCAAAAAAAAAACACTCGACAAAATGCGTCTTTGCCGGGTGCCTTTTTTCTGGCACTCGGCAAAGATGTATTTTGCCGAGTGCTATTTTTTGGCACATGGCAAAATGCGTCTTTGCCGAGTGTCTTTTTTCTGGCACTCGACAAAGATGTATTTTGCCGAGTGCTATTTTTTGGCACATGGCAAAATGCGTCTTTGCCGAGTGCCTTTTTTCTGGCACTTGGCAAAGATGTATTTTGCCGAGTGCTATTTTTCGGCACACGGCAAAATGCGTCTTTGCCGAGTACCTTTTTTCTGGCACTCGGCAAAGATGTATTTTGCCGAGTGCCTTTGTTTTGGCACTCGGCAAAAAGGCATTTTGCCGTGTGCATTTTTTTTCCCTCGGCAAATCAGTTTTTCAAAGCAATTTTTGAGGTACTAAATGAATTCAAATGAAAAACTTTTCAACTACAAAGTTGTATAACTTCTCAAGATCTACAAAGTTTATTTTGGTCATTTCTTCATTTGACAAAGCGACAATAACGTTGTTCATAAAATCTATGTCTCTCATATTAGTTTCGTAAAAGTAGAAGAGAGATATATAAGATTTGTGAACAATGTTACTACCACTATGTCCGATGAACAAATGACCAAAATAAACTTTGTAGATCTTGAGAAGTTAAGAAATTTTGTAGTTGGCAACATTTTGATTTGAAATCATCTTGTCATGCAAAAACGACATTTGAATTTGAAAATTTTAAAATTTGAATTTTTCAAAAGACCTCGGATGGAAAAACTTCCTAAATGAAAATTGTAGATCTCTAAAAGTTATGAAACTATGCAGTTGACAACTTTTTGATTTGAAATCATCTTATCATGCACAACTACGTTTGAATCTCTAAAATTTAAAATTCGAATTTTTCAAACGACCTCGGATGGAAAAACTTCCTAAATGAAAATTGTAGATCTCGAAAAGTTATGAAACTTTGTAGTTGACCACTTTTTTATTTGAATTCGTTTAGGACCTCAAACCAGCAATTTGCTCTCGATTTAGTATAATATATGAGGATAGATAACGGAATCTAGACACAAGTGACACTCAGACTGTTCGGTTGGCTGGTTTGTTTCGTTGCTGGTTCATGAAGAAGTACTGCTGGCTGGTTTGTGTGAGTGAAAAATACTATTCTAGCTAGAAATTTACGATCGTTGACGACAAGCCACAGCCAAACGAACAGGCTGAGTGTAGTGCAGTGGTAGAATAGCAGACACGCGATGGAGAGGTCGTGAGTTCGAATCTCGCCGGCCGCGTTAGCTGCGAATTTAGCGTAAAAAATGCACCGACTTCGATGAAGACGGGTGGGCGCTGGCTGGTGGCGACCTCCCCCGAAATTTTTTTTTTGAAAAATTGTGCTATTATTTTAGGGTTTTTTCGTATTTTCATTTTGCCAAGTGTAAATCTTTGCCGAGTGCTTTTTCGGCACTCGGCAAAGCTTGCCGAGTACCCGACAAAAAGCACTCGGTAAATAGCTATTTACCGACAAAAACATACCGTGTGTTGTATGTCGAGTGTTACACTCGGTAAAACAGTTGCCGAGTGTTTTTGGACCAATGCCGAGTGCCCCTGTCACTCCACGAAACGACTGTATCCCGTGGTGACTAATAGTTTGGTAACCATGGTGTCACAGGTCTCTTTCGTCCCAACAATTCAGCGACACGTACGGCAAAGTACCGGTACACAGCACAGCAGACCTGTACTCCACCGCACAGAGATTTGCTAATATGCTCCTCCTGTTTTTAAACAGAAATTTAAAATACTAAAAATGAAACGAAAAAGAAAGGAAAAGGAATTAAAGAGCAGGAAACTGAAAAGGTGTCGTACCTGACGCCGTACACCCACTTGTACCCTCCACCCACCCCACCACTTGTACGCCGGCAACCCCACTGATCCGTGGGCCCAGGAACCTCGGGGACCCGCACGTCAGTGTCCCAGAAGCCACGCTATAAAATGGCGCCTCGTCCCCGCAGTTCGCATCACCCACCCCCTGTACGCAGAAGAAAACGCCTCCTCGCTCACCACACCATGAGGCAGCTAATCCGGCGGCTCTCTCGCGTCGGCGACTGCTCTCCACCGCCGCCTTCGTCGTCGTCATCTTCGGCGAGGAAGAAGCGCAGCAAGGCACACGCGGGGGTGCCGGAGGGGCACGTGCCGGTGCACGTGGGCGGCGGCGCTGAGGGCGCGGAGGAGCGGTTCCTGGTGCGCACCGAGCTGCTGGGCGCGCCGGCGCTCGCGGACCTCCTCGGCCGCGCCGCGCAGGAGTACGGGTACCGCCACCAAGGCCCGCTGCGCATCCCCTGCCCCGTCGACGTCTTCCGCCGCGCGCTCGCGTCCGTGTCCGTGGCCGGCGACGAGGAGGGCGAGTAGGATCCATCGGAGGAGGAACGAACTCTATCGGCACGGTAGCGCTTGGCCCGGGCCGCCCTAGCGGGTTGCTGGGCTGGGCTCGTGGGCTTAGGCCCCAATTTTGAGGCCTGGGCTTTTGTTGATTTTTTTACCGTCTTCTTGTTAATTAATTACCATATGGCTCCCTCCCTCCCTCCTCTTGGGTGTTGTTGGTGTTGCAACGAGCTAGTAGAGAGAGAGGTCGAGGCGAGGGATTTAGTATGAATTGCTCTTGTTTTGTTATTAGCTTCAATTTCCTTTGTTTAGTAATAATGCTACTATGGATATATCGATCGAAGGATATTAAGATGACTACATATATACACGCTCATATATAATAGCAATAAAGTGACAAGCTAGTTTAATATTTGCATATTTCTATGTTTCTGTTTGGAGCGTAGCAATAAAGTGACAAGCTAGTCCTTAAATATTTGCATAGTTAGTTTGAGCATCATAACTCTTCACATGGTTTGTTTAATATTTGCAAACTCATTTGCAAATATTTAACTCTTCACATAGTTAGTTTGAGCATCCTAACTCTCCACATGGTTTGTTTAATATTTGCATATTTCTATGTTTCTGTTTGGAGCGTAGCAATAAAGTGACAAGCTAGTCCTTAAATAGCTAGGCCTCGAACTTAAGCCTGCCCACAAAGGTTTAACACACACACCTTGACTTAACAGTTACTAACACGAATGCTCCTTTTTTCTAAATTTATTTAAAAATATAACGGTGTTATATTTTATTGGCAAGCGATATTCCTCAATCTACCATCATATATACTCTTAAATTGACAAAGATGTCGTCAACGAACACATACATCTTTATTGCCATCACTCGTACTAATAGGAAAAAGATAACTAGCTAGCTGATGTGATGTTGAGTCAGATAGCGTGTGTTTGGTTTTGGGATGACGTGGGATGGATTGGATCTGTTCCGGTTTTACGGGTTGGGTTGAATTCATTATGTGTTTGATTCAGAGGGTGGATCCACTCTAGTCTTATGTTCGGTTTGAAGAAAATATAGAGGTTGGTTGAGACTATAACAACTGGGCCAGCATGATGGTTGGTAGCCTCTCACCCTTTCTTCTTCTAGGTTTAACACACACCTTGACTTAACAGTTACCAACACGAATGCTCGTATTTTTTTCTGAATTCATTTTAATATATAACGGTGTTATATTCTATCGACAAGCGGTGTTCCTCAATCTACCATCATATACTTTTAAATTGACAAGATGTCGTCAACACAGACATCTTTATTGCCATCAGTCGTACCAATAGGAAAAAGATAACTAGCTAGCAGATGTTGAGGTAGATAGCGTGCATTTCGTTTTGGGATGACGTGGGTTGGACTTGCGGGTTGGGTTGAATTCATTCTGTGTTTGGTTCAGATCGAGGACGGATTCACTCTAGTCTTATGTTTGGTTTGAAGAAAATATAGCGGTGGGTTGTTGAGACTATGACAACTGGGCCCCGTGCTGTTGGGCAGCCTCTCACCCTTTCTTCATAAACCTTGTCACGTCTTGCTCGAACGTTCGGTCCTTGGTGCGGGATCGGCTACTCGCCGCCCCTCCTCGCTGCTAAATCGCCGCTGAAATTTGCAGCAAGAGCCCCACCCAAGCGCTTTCGACGATGCTCTAATCACTCGCAGCCCGACTAAGCGCCCCACCACCCTGCTGCTCACTGTCGTCGTAGCTGCTGCGCTGCTGGTGCCCCGCCATCCCTGGTGCCTTGCGTGTTGCCACCGTAGCGGCTTCATAGGCCACGCCGCCGCCACAACAGCTCCTCCTAGCGTCTGGCCGCACACAGATGCTCTCCATCTGGGTTGAACTGATCTAGCCATTTTGGTGGTATCGAACCGACCTTTATCTAGTGCGGATATTCCCTAGTGAGTTGGAAGTCGGAACTAGTTTTGATAGTCTTCAAACCAAACTGTTAGCGATCTAGGACCAAGCCACTCCAATACAGTACAACATGCGCAATCCAAACCCATGCTTACTTATTCCCTTTACATGAAAAATGTCATTTTTGCTATGAATCTAAAGAAACAACTTCCATCGAGATTTATAAAAAAAACGATTTTTTTTTAACCGGAGCAATAAGTACCTAACTAGCCACGCTACCGCGCGCTCATCAGCTCGCACACACCTAGCTACTGCCATTGCTGTGGCCATGATGATCGGACACTTGCGCTGCGAGCCGCCCCTGGCCGACAATCACGTCAGCTTTCATGCGTGTGGCCCTACGTGTCCGCGTGGCAGGCACGTGTGGCCCCAGTGGCAGTCGGTCCCTCGACGTCGGCTGCGATCGAGCACTGGCGTCAGACCTGTCCGCCGTACGCCAATTATTAGGGACCGTACGCTAATTATCAGCGTGCTATGCTACTTTGGCCTGGTTTAGATGACATCAAAGTTCCAAGTTTTTTCACTCTCTTTCCATCACATTAATTTTTAGACACATGCATGGAGCATTAAATGTAGGTAAAAAAGTAACTAATTGTACAGTTTGGTTGTAAATCACGAGACGAATCTTTTGAGCCTAGTTAGTTCATGATCGGACAAAGTTTGTCAAATACAAACGAAACGTGCTACAGTGTCCAGATTACAAAAAATTGCAATCTAAACAAGGCCTTGCTGTGAGTAGTATACGAGGAGTACATATAAAGCTGCTGTTTAACTAGTGACATGTCACGGCCCTAGCTATCTCATCGATCCTCAGCGAACGAATGACCCCTAAGAACTAGCAACTCCAGGAAACTCTGTCTCCTTCTGTATTCATATAATGATAATCTTTTTCTTTTTAAAAAACCCAACAGCTGCTTTAATTAGGTTTTCAATTATTTTCGTCGTCTATTTTAGAATTCTCAGGAGCCGATAATAAAGAGTGGAGTTGGTTCTTTAAAGTAGCTATTAGAGAGTGAAAAGATTAGAGAATGATTTTATTCATATGATTCCCCAAATAATGATTTAGAAAACAAGTTTAAGAAACACACTCGAAGATGCTCTAGCTTGCTGGTGGAGGCATGCACCTAAGCATTAATTCACTTGAATCGCTGCCTCCCAACTACCTATCCTATAGCACTTCGTTCCCCTAATACATAGGCTAGGCCACCATTTTTTGAAAAAAAAGCACCCCGACACTGAATTACATATATGCATATATAACGCGCCCAGATCAGCGCCGGCTACACACCAGATGCAACTATCGCATCGAGGTTCCATGAAACCTTCGCGGAGCCGCTGTCGTCGTCCAAAAGGGCTGCCATGCGCGAGCTCTTTCCGCAGGCGGGGGCACGGAGGGGACGCACAGCGCTGCAGCAGCACTGATCGGCTCCACACGCTGTCGCACAACTATACTCTCCAATGAGTAACAACAACATCCTCATCTGGAACGCCCGTGGCCTCAATAACCGAGAGCTGCGTATAGCGTTGTCAGAAACTTAGTCGCCCAAGAACGTATCTCAGTAGTGTGCTTACAAGAAACACTACGTAGAAAACGTTTTCCGGGGGCAGCTGGTAACCCTCTGTAGTGACGGTTTTGCCAGCCGCTCCTATGAAAGAGTGACTACAAATCGCTGATTTGTAGGGGCGGCTGGTGTTATTAGCCGTCCCTATAAATCGATTTGTAGGGGCGGCTGAATATTGAGCCGCCCTATAAATCAATTTTCAGAAATCATGAAAAAAGGAGCAAAAAAAATAGCAATGTTTTTTAATTCGAGGAGGTTTCCACCAGCAAGTCACACACACCCTCACTCTATCGAGGCAGTATTTTTTCACGATTTTTGCACACTTTGTGTCGCCCGGGATTCGAACCCGCGATCTCTCGCTCGCGCGCCATCTCCGCTACCACTACACCTCACGTTCACTTGTGTCTATAATTCATTTTGGTTCCCCGTATATTATACAAAACTAAGCATAAATTGATTGTTTGAGGCCCTAAACTAATTCAAATGAAAAAGTTGTCAGCTACAAAGTTTTATAACTTTTCAAGATCTACAACTTTTATTTTGATAGTTTCTCCATCAGAGGTCACTTATAAAATTTGAATTTCAAATTTGAAAAATTCAAATGTAGTTTTCCATGACAAGATGATTTTAAATGAGAAAGTTATCAACTACAAAGTTTCCTAACTTTTCAAGATCTACAACTTTTATTTTTACTGTTTGTCCATCCAAGCGTGTACTCGAGCGACTGACAAGATGATTTCAAGATCTATAACTTTTCAAGCCCAAAAACTACTCGAGCGACGTATAGCTTTCCCGATTTTTAATACTGGGCGTGTATTTGTAGGGGCAGTTTAATATTGAGCCGCCCCTACAAATCCGATTTGTATGGGTGGCCGGATATAGAGCCGTCCCTATAAATCGGGACATTTGTAGGGGCGGCTGATAATACCGGCCGCCCCTACAAATCCATTTGTAAGGGCGGCTCCGTTGACAACCATTTGTAGGGACGGCTCAATATAGAGCCACCCCTACAAAGAAAGGGAGACGTTGCCACAAATCGTTTTTGTAGTAGTGAAACAAAAGTCGCTTCTGTATCTGGCACCTTCCAATCTGAGTCCCTGCCTCCAGCAGCGCTGCTCAGGCGGATCATTGATGATGCGAATGCCTGGATGGGAGCCGGTTTTTAGGCCATGTCGATATTCATGGCGCGAGCAGACTAAGGACTCCATAGCCTCTTTGTCGCAAGATTGTTTGCTGTATAATCCTCTCGTGTAATGCTGGCTCGCGTCTAGTACTGTGGCCATTCGGTCCTAGTCGCTTTGTAATTTCCAAAACCTTCTCCTTAATGAAACACATGCTAAGCACGTTATCGAAAATAAAAACAAACACTCTCTGTTATTCGCTTATACTAATACTTTGAGCAGATAATGTTACCAAAGTATGTGAAACACGACCAATTATAATCGTTAAATTTAGATATGTTACGATATTACTAATACAAAATTGATGTTGGGACAACCCAAAGGGTTAACGGA